AGAGAGAGAGAGAGAGAGAGAGAGAGAGAGAGAGAGAGAGAGAGAGAGAGAGAGAGAGAGAGAGAGAGAGTCCTTACCGTGTTTGAGGTTCCATGTTCAAGCCCTGCCCAAGAGGTTGGCTATGGTAGCCATAATGCAATGAAAACCTTGGGCAGTTTGAGGGTTCCATTCCCCCTGCTCAACAGGTTGGCTACGGTAGTTAGGGTTAGGCCTCACCATGGGCATGTTGAGAAAGGAGAGAACTTCATTACACTAGGAGGAGGAAGGCAAGGTGAACCATGACAAAGACTTACCCTTGGCTACGGTGGGGATACTTCCAAGTGGTGCTAAGTCGAGAATACCCTTAGAACGGAGGCGAGGTTTGGGAGCCTTATCCTGTATTGTTCTCTGTGCATCCTGCTTGAGAAGGGATGATGCCAAACTGGATTCACTATGTCTATTGAGGGCGACAGATAGAGAGGGAATAGGAAGGTAGAGTTCATTTTCACAGCAGATGATAGGGAGATCAATTGGGGATTGCTTCTTGGTTCTGTCATGTATTCTTTGGGTACTGATAAGCGACAAAAGAGGAGGATGTATCAGGGTGATGATTTGGTGGCGAAATGAGGTGAAGTTGACATCAAGAGCATTCTTGTACTACTCTTCTTCTTCTTCATCTTCTTCTTCTTCTTCTCTCTCTCTCTCTCTCTCTCTCTCTCTCTCTCTCTCTCTCTCTCTCTCTCTCTCTCTCTCTCTCTCTCTCTCTCTCGCGTCATGAAGAACTTGGAACATTGCACTGTCAATGTCTCATCTCTGGCCAACAAAGTAGAACTACATGGCTTGCTCAGCATCTGCTTGAAGGATAGCCTGTCCTTTCCCCATTGTATGCACCCCCACAACCAGACCAGCATTTCCACATTACAGCCGAGGGTGCTACATTGACTTCATGCTCGACTCTGATACACCTTCCTTTTCCATCCTGGCCTCCACTCAACATTCTTTGTGGGTATGGTAAATGCCAGTGAGAATTTCCTATATGGTTTGCCCTACCAGCCTTACTGTGCTCCCCCCTGTCACACACATCTGAGCAACCCTTGACTCTTTGACCGACCTCCTTCACGCACCATACCTGCTATAAGTGCACTAGTAGCGCTGCTATAACTGCAATATTAATGTTGTTATAAGTTCACTATTAATGCAGTGCTGCAAGTGCACGGTTAGAGAAGCCAGGTGAGTTCACTTCCCACTCAACCAGACAAACATAGGGAGCCTTGCAGCTCAAATGAAATGAGAAAAGGAAGGGGAAAAAAAAGCACGAAAAATGAAAAAGGAAAGAAAAGCTTTTGTGTCGTTTTATTTCTGCCTTGTGCCTGCCCTTTCCTCTAGTTTTTCCGCATCGTTTCATGATCGTCGTTTGCTATGTTACAACTTACAACACATCTGGGTGAGCAGCTGAGATGCCTGAAAAACAAAATACAAAATACCAAAGAAATAGACAGTTGGCAATGGAAATCTAAGGACCTGCTGACGCTGAGGCATGCAAAAGAAACCTACACAAATCTTTACCATGCCAGCCATAATGAGAAACTACGCGATTCTATTGGCAATCGACACCTAAGGACCTGCTGAGCCTAATGTAAATTTATTTCATTTGCGCATTGGAGTTTATCAGCCAGCAATGGCAAGTCCTGGTCATGAAGAAAGTCAATGCGTCACTTAAGTTCCTCGAGTTTGTTTTCATGCAGCAACGTTGCACAAAAATTGAGGAAGCAGCAGCATAATAAGAAATCTAACAGCTGTACAGATGCAGTGCACTTGTAACTTCCAGTATTCTTGCAGCCTCTAGACTCTGTGTGTAAAGTACTATAAACTATGTAACTGCATTTCGCAGCAACAATGAATAACACTTGGAGGAGAAACGCAGCATAACATCCAGAACAGCAGTTGTATGCAACGGTGAAGATTTGCGGCCAGCTACACGAAAGTGAGGATGTAACCTGTTAGCACACCAAATACCTGGTTCACATTCACTTGAGTTTGGTTTCTCATTCCTGGTGGGTTCATCTGGCCATAGACGTTTTCGACACTTGTTTTCCATTTTACGGCCTGTAAACAGACAATCATTCAAACACACAGAGAGAAAAACAGCACATGAGCCATTTCATTGGATGGATACCTTTCTGCTTATGCCCGAAAACAAGGCCAGAACCCCTCCGTTTGTCAAGCCCCGGGCCAGTCGCGAGGTCATAGGGTCGGTCAAGTCCCGAGTCAGTCTCTAGGTCATAGGGTCAGTCTAAGCCGAGAGAGGCTATAGGGACAGCTCTGAGAAACAGTCTCGGTCCGATGGAACTGAGCATCAACTGGTCTCCGGGCCCAGCCAGGCGTGGATTCAGGCACCCAAGACTAGGGTAGGTTAAGGATCAGGCCCAGTTTGACCCAGAGTTTAAGGAGCTCGCAGTCAGTTCCAGTGTGTCATGCTGTCCAGCTGCTGCCAGAGTGGGAAGGGAGAGAGCTTGCACAGGCATCCATATCTTGGTGTGGTAGGTGTCCGCCAGACCTGGTAGTAGCGAAGAAGGGGACATAGGGGGCAGCAGTGGAGACACTTGGGAGAGAAAGAGGCCTGAGAGTGGAAGAAGCTTACCTGGTGACTGGCACACTGAAGAAGAAGACTCCAAGACTACAATGAACTAGCATTCTTCAATCAAGACTGCATTCTTTATGAGCTGGACCCCTGAGACATCTGGTGAGGAGTGAGATTAGGTTGATTAGGTTGCTTAGGTTGATTAGGTTGATTAGGTGATTAGGTTGATTAGGTTGATTAGGTTGATTAGGTTGATTAGGTTG